TATCGATATTTACACGATATATAGAATTTTCCTACGTCGTTTATTTTATTTTAAGGCATTAGTATCGCCCTTTTTAGACTGAATCTTACAGGTGCAACGCCTCATGTTGGGTTCACAGACTCAAGCTGGAATTGTGTGGTACTTTTGACAATGAAAAACTAAGTAAGTATCTGTCGAATGTCGAACGCATATCAAAACAAGAAAGGTTTACAGCACAATCCTGCACTAGTCGCTCCCTGGTGTTCGTTTTCCATTCATGCTTTCCGAAGAATCTCTACAACCTTTGCATCCTCATGACATGAGAACATTCACCCATTTATAGCGAGTGTGTAAGGTGCCATGCTCATAGTAGATGAACGCGTGGCATTGTAGGCCGAGATACACTCGGTTATAGCATTGTATCACGGGACAACCATCTGTTGCAAGTATGACACGATACCTCTGCCAAGTCAATAGTCTGATGACGCCCTTTATGCGTTGGGTGCACTCGAATGTCTCAATGAATATATCGGTGGGTGAATTCTTCATCCAGTAGAGGACTGTCCCCCTCAACAACAATCTGACGTGATCACCCAGAGGGTATGATTTATTACTTCACAAGTCTTTTTACCTCCTCAAAGGCGTGTTCATATCTACACATTGGTCTGCCGTCCGCCAGACGCGACATGTGGTCGAATCCAAGGGCAGCATAGAATACCTTTGCTCCCGGTGGCTGGCACATTAGACCTCGTTGTAAACCACGCGCTGTCCTCCTGGTGGGTGATGTACATTGTACACGTGTCTACGATCTCCGCCCCAAAAACAATTCCGCCCCAACTTACCTTGGATGAAGCTCTGTAGCCGTGTTGGTCGCGCACGCATGGGAAATAATGTAATGAACAAATGGTCTATAGACCTACTTTCGATGTGTTTTGAACTCCTTTCGTATCAGTATCAATTATTTTGAGCTCGCCCAATACGTACTGCAAGAATGTTGGCACCCACTACCTGTTTGGGCTTGCCCTCCTGTTTGGGATATACTTACCTGGACGCTCGGCCCATGGTCTTCCGATTTATCCGACACGACATAGCTCTTAGTGGGCTATGCCGCATATCGTGTAGCAGAGTGAGCTCTCGACTCTATCAACCGTGTTCTTGTCCTTTGGGCTCTCATGAATGGTTTCTTGTGGTCTCAACCCCTGCTGGTACTAACGGTTGGCCGGCTATTGTTCAGACAAGGCATGTGCGTCCTAAAGCGATTCTAGAACTACCTCGTCCACTACCGATCGCGGGTCTTTGTCGTCTTCTGCTTCCCGGTGGCCCATATAATATTGTCAATACGATTGCGGACGTGTAAAGCCGCGTCAATGGTCTCACATTCACTACGTAACAGTTTTTTCATTACTCCGGCGCCGTCGTGGGGTACTTCACACTCGGCAAGAAACTCCGGCACGGCCATGTCACACTGCCTGTTGTGGCTGGTTCTGTACTGCCTTGAGTGTGGCTGGCAATCACTTCCCTACTCTGTACCTGTGATAAGGGTTCATATGTCCCGGTTGGACCTGTACTAGCCAAGGTTGTGTGTTCCACTCGAGGTGTGTTGCTCCACCACGTCTCGAAAGACGAGTTTCATGGGTTCCAACCATCCCACGCACTCGCTTGAGAAGGTCAAATTTGCGCAGGTGTTAGCACAACGTTATTTACCTTAGTGTCTATACCTTGTATTCTGCACCTGATATCTTCCTGGTACTCTACACTGGCTCGGTCCCTCCCGTGCCATAAACATCATCCTCCGGTTCTCTCAACGTCATTGCTGTCTCAAACCTCTCCTGAAGCGACTCACCTCGAGCTTCTTCCATATCCTCTTGCCGATAGCAACATTGTATAAGTTAGCTTGTTCCTGACATAGTAGATGCATATGTTTACGTAAATCTAAAACTGTGGAATACAAAAACGTAGAAGATACATCTGCAATAATTAGAACAATCTAAATTTAGACATTTGAAAACACAATAGTATACTTTAGAGTACAGAAATATTGTAAACATTTGGTGGTTTTTCTTGAAGTACTGCATTTCCACTCAAATGTTGAATTATATAGAAGACATGGACTCAAGCACAATTTGAGACTTGGTGTATTTTCAAATATTCGCAGAGCAAGATAATATACTGTGAAATAGGACACAGGTTGAGTCCTCCTGGTCAGCCAACTATATGAGCCAGTCTATGCCTCAAGTGGGGTGGCGAGCTAAGTACCAAGTGATGATGTTATAGTCGCAGTGGAATTAATGCACCAGCTTGGCGTTTTGATTTTGATTTTAATTTTCTTAAGTTAGATTTATAATTGTTTTCGACTACCACGAAAGGTATAACTGGAGGATAGTTTCGGAGAATGTATGCGATTAAACGAAACCAACACAATCTAGGTTGTTGACACTTGAAATAAATAGACCGAAGTAGTGAGTGATTGGAGCGGAACTAAACAAACAGAGTCTCAGTCTAAAATTCCCCGACCTTTAGCATAGCCTGCTAAATTAGATTTTATAGGGTACACGCAGGAATAAATAGATTTTTTTGGGATTCCAAAAAAAACAGTAGAAAAACATGCTAAAAGTTGTAATATGGTCTTGCAAAGGTGTGTTTTATTTCTTAGCTGATACGTTCTACTTTGCTGCGACGCTCTAGTTCGAAAGTATGGTGGCCTAAACTGTTGCAAACTGTGAGTACGTCGATGGCGACAAGTGGGGCGGACCAGAAGATTGGATTCTTCCGTATTCCAAAGCTGAAGGATTACCCAAAAACAATCACTGGCAAGAAGGGGTTGATTACCAAAACGAAAGTAGATTTAAACAATAAGCAACGTGAGTGGTACATTGAAGCTTGTTCGCAGAAGTTTAGGGCTGCAGACAACCGCAGTGCTGATGAAGTGGAGGCTCAGTATTGGAATGGCGACGTACGCGTATGTAGCGTACATTTCCATATATCGGTTTTAGCAACTTCCAAAAATGGAGTAGTCAGACCAGTAATTGTTGCATGCCCTACATTGTACATGAAACGTCTAGGCCCAACAAATTCACCAGTGTATGAGAAAACATCTAAAGCACGTCTAATTGTCTCTATGGACGAGTTATACCGTCTGGATCCTGAGCTAGCAAACCCTGATTTAGTATAAAAATAACTAGTATCTATAGATCAGAAAGCAGGCCGTGCCTTGAAACGAGCGGTAATTTCAGACAAGTAAGAGGATAGAATTTGAAAATGACCTTAATACGGACTTCGCATATCTGGAAAAACAGTTTCCCAGATTGAATAAGCAGTGGACTTTGAACATTCAGGCAACATGCATTACTGCATCTCGTGCATTGCTGATGGAGAAAGGGGATATGTCTGCCATTCAGCAAGTGCGGCTTACGCTTAGTGCATTACGTGGTGTAGTAAATGTATATATGTATACGCCCGCGCAATCCACTTGCAAATCTACCAGTAGTGGCGAAGATAACGGGATGTACACACAGACTATCAATTTTGTAGAGAATAAGTTGGAGCCAGTATCAACATATACTGGAATTATCAAACGATTTCAGTCGATTGAGAAGACTACAAGTGATGCAGTGGACTGCAGTGATCCAGTGCATACTTCAGAGGCTGTCTGCACTATCTTAACAGACCGTGCCAGTTTTCTGTCAGAATCACAGGCTAAAAGTAGAGCTGCATACTATCTTCATATGGCTGAGCAAGTAGAGCTATTAGAGGCATGTAGGTTCAAACGAAGATATCCTCCGAATTCTTTCGTACTGGCAAGTTCACAGCTTCTGCAAAGAAAATCACCAGGGCTATATAAGAAAATCCGTGCTAACAGTTCCTTTACATTCCTGTCGTGCGAGCGTACTATATTTTCGTCTGAAAATAGCAATGCCTTGCCATCTGACTGCATCTTGGCCGGTGTTGGATCAGCGCATGCAGCGGTGTTAGAATGTATTTCACAGGCACATGTGTACGGACTTTCCGATACGCGCACCAAACAGGAAGTGAGACAGATCGCTTTTGACGAGAAGAAGGAGCTTACTTCATTTCAAATGCGAAATCAATCATGGCCCTACATCTTGATGAAGTTAATATCCGTCCCAAGTCATACATTCACCAGTAAGACTTCTTTATATGGACCGGCGTATAATGACCCGAGTACACTGGCCAACCATATTCAAACATTTTATTATCTTCCATTGGAGATAGCAAAATGTCTATGAATCTCATGAGTCGACCGGTGGCAGGGATGACTAGTGTACCTATCTACTTGAGTCTCTGGATAAGTGTAAAAGCACATCGTATGTGCCAGTACCAGTCATATTTGATGGCTGTACTGTGAACAGAAAAGCCTTGAGACTCTTCGTCCTTCCGGATCAAACTTCTGTGCCACCTGGACAGCCGCTGGCTTTACCTCAAAAATTACCGGTGTCCAGAGTCTTCAACGGGGAGAAGATGTTCGCATTTTTCTGCCTTATACGTATTGTAAAGTGTATTAAAAATAACATGCTGCGCAATAATCACGTATTGACTATCCGGAGCTTAAACTATCCGATGGCTACGTACTTCCTAAAGGAATATGCAGCCTTAAGCCAGTTAGGGCACTCTACACTATGTACAAGGACTCCTTGTTCTCTGAAATTCGTATCAATCGCACAACAGTTTGGCCGACCAACCTAGAAAGACAGCAGGTTGCGCCGGCTTTACTGTTGTTCTCGGATGAGCTTTGTACGGCACTAAGAAAGGAATTTGGAGCCGCAGAAAAGGGTACATACTTATTCTTGGAAATGATTAACAAATATGTGATTAAACCATTTCTCACTGTTAGCACTAGTGAAGGACAAAGGAAACGTGATGCGTGAGCTCTATCTTTTACCGACTTGGAAGATATCCGATTGAATTGCCGCAGACATCACAAAGTGGCTGCAGGATGATTGGTATTCTGGTCTAACTAATACCATTCCAATCCAGCGGCAAGCCAAGTATATATACATTGATGACGACGATGACGACAGCTCTGTAGATGTATGTATTATCATGTTGTCAAAGCCATATATAATATCCTGTACATCAGTCATTTGATTGTGTGTTTGTATTCATTGAGTTACTAATTATGCTCTAATCTAACCATAACAGATCGCAGAATATAACGCTATGATGGAATGAATACACGATGTTCAGATATTCAGCGAGGACAACAAATTTTATTTCAAATGATGAGCTGAGTGCTACATCGCCATGGAAATGAACAAGCCGCCACTACAGATGTTAACACTGAACTCACCTCGACAGCTACGGCTCAGCCGAAGAAGACAAAGGGGAGGAAAGTACCACAAGGAGGTTTGACCCTTGAGACCTATTTTACGCTTGCTCACACTTTGCGTACACTAGCCGCCTGTATACATCATCTACTTATTGTGAAAAAGTTTAACTATGTATTAGCTGGTCGCGTAATAACGACCCTATCGAAATGAACGTTTCTATTGCTCGATTGATGGCTGGTGGCAATCGCCATTTAGACATACCAGTATATTTATTTACTCAACGAAGACTCATGATAAGAGCCATGTATGTAGTATGCAATAACAGTGACGGTAGTCACAATCGCGAATTATACAGGGCAATGTTTGATGGCTTGAAAGAGAAGACACTCGCACTTGAAGTTGCTATTGTAAAGCGTCTTATGTACAAGTGGAAACCGCTTCTACACTATGGCAGCAAGCTTGTGTCTTAGTCGCTTTCAAATAGTGTACTATCATATGTTGGAGGGTATGCTGCCTTCAAATGGAAGGAGAACTGTAATGTTTCGTGTGCACTATGTACAAATGTAGTCACCTTGGGCAAGGTTTTAGACGAAGACTGTAAGGTTTTTGTAGAGTATCGTGCTGAACTGATTGACAAATTGGATCGCAAAGGTTTAACATGGCCTACCACACAAGTTGTAGAAATGACGGGATTGATAGTCGACGTGGTGGACCAAATTGTTCACAACAAATAGTTTATCGAGATGTTTAACCAATCTACTTGTTCAAGTCGTGCGGGGCTGAAGGCTCTGAAAGATATAATGCTCCCGCGTATTTCCACATGCAAGAAATTAACATATTTACGCGTAGTCTGTCCTGTTACCAATCAGGACCGAGCAGCTTCGATCTCGAATGCATTCCTTAATACTATATACAATGTGTCTTGTAAGAATATGTCTATGATTCTGAATAGACGACATGCAGCTACAGTCATAACACTCAGCATGGTAAAGACTAACAAAAAGAAAGGGCAGCCTACCTCTTTGAAGACTTCAGAGGGTACAGCATTCACATTTGAGAGTAGTGGGAAATGTACGGGCAGTCAATGCAAAGAAATTTTGCGTAGTATTAGTGCTCCCCTCGGCGGTACTGTCGAGCAATTGAGACAGCGTGGTATTCTACTAGCTGATTTGCATAAGGTGGGTTTGGGTAGTGTACCGGGGTTAAGTATCGATGATGCCCGTGGATATTGTCGTCAATTGGAGCTCACAATGGCGTCCAAAATCGAAATGGTAGAACGCATTGGGAGAGTACTACTGAACCCTATAGATCGAGATACCCACGATTTAATCGTCGCTGCCATAATGTCTGACTAAGGATTCTCTACAAGTCGAGGTGAGGCTTGTGCACGCCTCTGATAGCGACACTAGTACAGTTAATAAGGTTGTGCATACATAGTATTTGGAGGTGTTTTTGTGTGTGTTAGTATGTTTTGACTGTGTGTTTGCTATATAAAACTCGCGTCATCAATTTATTATTTTTTACTCCGGACCAGAAAATCCAGACCAATGTTTGGCTTGTATGATTCAGAAGGCTATGCCTTCAGCTTCCTACCGAGGGCTGCAGGTAAAATTATATCTTTTTGAATTTAAACATCCTGTATTGGATAGTTTTTATGTCGGGTTTATTTGAATGTATTCTCGAACTACTTTGCAGTGGTAAAGCACTTACTACTGCTGGGGGTTGTCAACAATATTAAAAGGGTACATGGCAGTCGATTAAAGCATCGGGTCTTCACACCTTACAGAAATAAACACAGACGAGACATGTAACAAGTCAAAAGTGCACCTGGATTATCGTTGGATACACAATCTACAACGGACACCGTATTGGTAGAGAATATCATAATTTCTATCATCACCAGTGACAGGTACCTGTTACGGAGCTTGAGGCCTCCCTTTCGGTTGAATCCCCAGTGTCAGGATACCTAATTCAATATTCGTACTTTTAAGGGGAGTACACCAAGTTTTATCATCTGGTCATTTCTCGCCCGTCATCCCGCACAAACGATATTGATTACCCGGTACTAGAACGATTACACTGAACCCTTTCTAGATTTATACAATACCTTCCTTCGTTCACATTCATAGTTGACCATAAAACCTTTCAATGAGATAAATTGGTCAGAGCGACGAATCTATTCATTATCTGGTAAGGATGGTCGGCAAAATACATTTAAAAGCCTATGTAAGGCCGTCGTGACCCACTCCACAGACCAGTAAAACAAGGAATACGAAATGAACATATGTAAATACCATATCTATTAATAACGTTATATCAATCACGTTTTAAAGACAATTTCATCTCCTCGATGGTCTAGTTGGTTAGGACGTGGTTCTCATAGTTCAAATTCGTTACGGCGAATCGCAAATGCGTCATTCCGAGGTCGCAAGTTCAAGTCTTGCTCGGGGAATTTTTTAAATTCAATACGTTACCTATGCAAGCGTCATGTGTTATTTACCACAGGGCATGAAGTACGAAGACACCACTAAAGTGATTTATGAAGACTTTACACTGGGATATGAACCCCAATCTTAGAGCATTTGCATGAATGCTGTGGCTGTTGCTTTCGTATGAGCGAAGTATATTATTCCTGCGAAGCTAACAACAAAGACTTAGTATAGCGCTATATTATGCTGTATTTTAACCTTAAGAGTCGGGGAAAATTGATTATATCGCCTTTATAAAGAATCGACATCAGTAGCAACCAAGCTGTACTGAAATGCAAAAAAGTTCCCCGAGCAAGACTTGAACTTGCGACCTCGGAATGACGCATTTGCGATTCGCCGCAACGAATTTGAACTATGAGAACCACGTCCTAACCAACTAGACCATCGAGGAGATATAAGTATGTTTCATTTACAGTATTGATTTATGTTTATTTTGTCTGGTTTACTGAAATTCAACAACCAACAAATGATGACACTGTGATCACTACACCGGCGAATCGCTTACGCACCATTAGCAAAAAGTAACATTGAAGTTGCCAGCTACCGTTCCAAAGTAGCTAAATCCACAAAACTGTCCCCTAAAATATGACCATCCCTTCCAGTACCAAAAGTAACAGCCATAGTTTCTGGAGCACTCATGTCACAAATGACGGGTCGCCAGCTGCCCGAAAAATCTGTAGACGAAATGACGAATACACCTCCTGTCTGGCTTTTCTTTGAAGTAGGATTCCAAATGGCAAGCATCCCTCAAGCTATACCTTCGAAGAAGTGTGACGCTCCCACCCAATTTTGAATCGTCACCATCTTCTCTGGTATCTTCCATCAAAACCAATTTTCAAACGCAACCGTCTAGGCCGAGCAATCAGCATCATCCGAATCTGTATTTGAGGTCCAAGCCAAATTGAAACGAATTACGAATTATTCCTGGAAGTGGCGCCATGATGAACATATCGATCCACGCTCCAATAAGCACCCAGATTTAGCCAAAGCAGCAATTATACATCATCTTCGAACCAAGCGCGAGGCCCGATAAGATGCAGGCTTGGCACCCGAGAACATGGGCAACAGCCTTGATCTCATTGAACCCTTTGACGAAATCAGTAGATATCGAGATCCTCAAATCTACAACCGAGCGTATTGAGAGGGTATTTCAATGAAAGCGAGGCAACCCCACATCCCAGGACTCCGCACGCAACTGGAAGCACGTGATGCAGATGAAGACATGGAAATCAACAATACATAACCTGTTGTGAGGACACTTCAATGAAAGCGTGACAAACCCACAACCCAAGACTCCGCACGCAACCCAACTGCCCCATCAGCGGTTTCCCGACTCTTGGAGAAGGCAGATCAACTGGTAGCACGTGATACAGACGACGACATGAAAATCAATATAACAGAACCCGTTGTCAGCTTGTCAGAAGGGGAACAACGTTAGGACATATGCAGAAGATGACGCTTCTTAATCCATGAGGCCTCAGCATGATTACTCCAACGAAACCAGATAAGTGTTTGAATGTTATATCGATTTTGGATCAGGTTGGTGTTATGTATGTGGTTGAAACCTGGCACAATGTGACTTTTTTTAAATAATGTAGGTCTTTCCACGAAGCATCATATCTTACATCACACTGCACGACACAACCTCGTACATCCTTCGCAATGTGGCATTGTAATATTTTCCAAGCATCGAGGTTTCGTTTTCTTCTTCTGCTTTGGTATTCGAATGACTATATTCTACCTCCCACTCAACTCTTTCACAGATGCAGGAGTTGAACGCTACATGAATCCTTCTGAGATTGGCAACTTCCAACCAGATGTCGTTTGGGTGATTTCAATTTCAAAGCTAGACAGTATGGTCACACATCCACGATCAATGGACCCCGCAAAAAGACGGCAGAGGCCACTACTCTCAGTGCCTGGCGCCTACAATACCTACGTACGGGAGAATCTATCGGTACATAGCACGCGTACCACATGCCAACAAAACCAGCCTCTCTACAAACATACTTTCTTGCGGATCACGGTTTTAAATCTGTCTTCAGGTGGTCCCAAATGAACCATGATTCCGTCTTCGGCGAGTGCCTCCGTCTCAATCACCACTGCAGCACCAGTGTCTTTCATCCCACGGCCACAACCGGTATCGCCACCGACTGCATCATTTACACGACAAGTCCCGCACCCTGTTATTTCAAGCTGAGATCCGGGAGCATCAACATCTGTTACGGTCATACCTGACAATACATGGACTGTCAGACGGATTGGATCGTACACCAGATCAAATTTGGCGCTACCCAGCGAACCCTGCCATTTTTTAAGATTACTATTATGTCACTGACAACCCGTGGGTACAACAACGACTGCCAAATCACACGTTCCGCCCATGATCTGTTGCCCAACACAACATCCAGATATACAAGGACATCTACCTCAACGTCGATCACCGCTTCAGACGCTGCACTGACGGGTTACTACCAAGATCTCTTCAACTCAACTAACCCACACGTCATCACGCCGGACACAGTACCAACACCTCCATCAAATGCAGTTATTCACTCGGAGATGGTGTTGAAGGTAATACTGCGCTATCCAAACAAGGGTACTGGTCCAGATGATATCCATATCCTTCTCCCTAAGGCCGCAGTAGAATCATCAACTGAATTCCCGACTATGGGACGCCCTGACCCTGACAGCACATTTATTGGCATCTTGGATGAGGCATTCTCCACTCTCTTACTGGCTGGTACATTCCCTAAAGCTTTATACTTCAATCTCTTAACAGCCCATCCGACGAAAGCAGACGTGAATATTGCATCCCCTGCCGATTTCCGACCGATAACCTTAACGCAGATTTTCGACGCACCTTTTGAGAAGTCCTTCCTACAGCTGATAACAAATCACCCCCGATCAACCACTCATGCAACTCAAATTGGATTTAAATCACGCTACTCCTGTCATACTCATGCCTTAGTCGCGATGGAATCTGAGATACATTCCGAGGATGCCTGGAATGATGTGTATATTGACATCGCTGAAGCATACGATAAAGTGACCTTCCCGTAAATGTGGATGCTGTTGCGCCACGCTGGAATGCTAGAGAACTGTATCAGTTGTCTTTGTGCATCGTTCGAGAATATTCCCACACGGGTGACGTATCGTGGGAAGCTTTCACCTCTATTCCATAAAACGAATGGCACACTCCAAAGTCGATTGTCGGTCTACAACTTTCCATTTATATGGACTCCCTGGCTATTACACTTGCGCAATTTCGGCCGGAATAACTCCGCTTCTACCTCTTTGTAGATGACACACGCATCCAGGCTCCGCAGTCTTTTCGGTTGCAACCCCTCCTGAACGCAATCGATGGTTGGGGTCGCCAATCCGGTCTAAAACATGGTATTCTTACGCCCCGAAAGAGGTGGTCGAGCATGCTGCATGTGACACCGCCTCTCCGTATCAAAGGACATCTCATCCCGCCAACGCTAGTAGGTTCCCCATATGCGAACACTCTCAACAGACGCCTACTTTCCCCTCCCATGCCCTTGGCGGCGGAACTCTCTGACATCTTTTCACAGCCTTCCAACTACTTAGGGTCTCAACTGTCCCAGGGCAGACCGGGTATCGACTATGTAAAACACATGGACCACCTCGTGGAGCATTACTCCAGGCTATATATAGAGTGCTTCCGGGCGTATGGGTTTTATGGATTCAGCTGGCACCATCCGCGAAATCGGTTGGAAATATTCACGACATCCATTCTTTCAACGGCCAACTATGGTCTGAACATCCTTGCAGTGTTGAAGACGCTGTACGAGCGGTACAACTCAGCACAGAATCAAACAGCAGCCATCATAACAGGCACTATATTTTCAAAACTGCTATACCAGCGCATACGACTCCTTTTTACTTCCAGCACGCCAATTTGCGGAGTATTTTGGTGGCTGCCTCCTGGGACTAAAACTTGACTCTATCGACAGTACAGACCCACTCGCCCCACTTACGAGACCCGCTTGAACATGTAACAGACCTCCGGACAAATCCCAGTTCAGTATTTACGCTTATCTAGAATCAAGGGGTGGGTGCACACCTCAACACAAAGAACTCCGTAAGCTCTGTGAGATCCGACATAATACCACATAGCGTCTCACATTTAAGAAGATAGCAGGCAAAGTTTGCCGCCAATACTATTATCAACTTATAAGGAGATAATTTCCCATCACGGACCCGGACAAGCCCTCTCATGATAGCTTTACCCATTGCCATGAACACATCCCAATCCGTCTTTGTGCCGTGATAGCAATCAAGACGTTCCTGTTCAAATTGCTTGACTATCGCACTGGTGGATGCCACTGTCCTGTGTGCCCGGAGATAAGACTTTTACGTCCAGCCACTTTGCTTGTATCAGTTTCATAATACGGCGTATTCTGGAGGGCCCTAATCTACCCTCAATTGGACCGGACTTACTACATCAACTACATAATCGGCATGACTACCACGGCGTATGGACTCTCCACGACTGTCTCGGGGGCTTCCTTCTCTATGGACAGCGGGTACCAATATATCACCATCCAGTACTGGTCGATAGATTGATGTTCCCCATACCCATCACTCTCCTGAAGTAATATTTCCAGATTTCGGTACATACCAAATCTTTGAGACTTCTGGTACCACTTAAGATACTTCCCGCTATGGATAGCCAGGATTGGGCAGCCTCCAACTTTGCTCCGAAAAATAATTGCGGATGACAACCTCACCCTTCTCGGTACCACGTTCAAATATCTCAGACTGACTCAGCCCATATGACCACTACGAGGGTTGGCCAGCTTTATTCCACACAATGGCACACAGGATCTGGTTTTCACCCAATGGTAGATTTATTCTGTATCCATCGTCGTGAACATATGTCTTCCATCGTTGCATCACTCTCCCCGAGCTTCTCGTAGCAGTTCGACAATATTAACTTCCCTACAATTTCCTCAAAACCTTTCCAACGAATATGAAGCCTGATGTGCAGGTAGGCATTCCTGTAAGTTACCTTTGTACAGTTGTAATTGTGTCAACACAACCTTCACTAACTTTGCACGCGTTGACTTGTACATGAAACGGGCGAGCGTTGGACACACACTCTGAATGTGTTAGTGCTTAGTCATAACGCTATTCTTAGTCTTTCGAACGCACTTCGCATCATATTTCAGTAGTCAAATCCATCAAATTATCACGGGCTCCTTTCTGCCACATATGGTAGCATAAAGAACTACTGCCGCTTGTGCATACTATAAAATATAACAGCCGATGGTCGTAATCCCAACGGTATATCTCTATACTAAACTTTTGTCACAGGCGTGGAGAAGGCTAGGAATCTACGAGATTCCTTATCTACTAAAATTTGCCAATATCCCGATTCCACGTCCCATGTACTGAAATACTGACAACCACTTAGTTTTTGGAAAGCTGAGTGTACTATTGGCTAGTCACGGTATATTATGTGCGTGTTTGCCTTTTGGAAATCTGTGACTAACCTATACGTTCCTTGACTAACCTATAGGTCCCTGGCTATTAAGGTTTCGGCAATACAAGTTCTGGAGCGGGTTATCCGAGTATTCTATAATATTATTGCCATCATGTCACGTACAATAGTTTCATGAGCATATTCTTGCGTGCGTGAAAGTGTATATTGTTTTACGTTTATCGCTTCTTCGGTGTTTATCAGCAACCAAACTGGGGGTTGATCCATGAAACGGTGATCGTGCTCAGAATGATCGAACAAGTATTACTTAATGAGCAGATATTCAATAAGTAACCTTTGTGCATCTGATAAATTTGCAGCATGTTTATAATCAAATGGTAAATTCTCTTCGCGTGACAAATGTATGTCTTCTCTTGTGATGTCTCTTTCCAGTGAGGTGAGAAAAAATCTATTTCGTTTCAGTAGATGTGACTGCCTCAACTAGCTGGGGAATGTCGAGTTCCTCAATATATCCAATAATGAATAGTTATACACATTGGTAAAATTTAGTCAGTGGTTACCGATTTAAATATACCTTTTGCGATTAGTACCTTTCACTAAACAGGCAGTGATATATCTTAAAGCGATGCTTTTGGGAACAAATAAATATTATAGTAATCTGTTTTTACTTTTGAAACTTGATATCAGAAGCCGAATACGAGGGATTGTGTGACCAGCCACAGAAACTTCTGGTTATGAAATATATGTTTGACTACAGTGCCATTATGTTCCTCATCTGAAGGGCGAGAAACTCGCAGTGTATTTTTCTTGTTGAATAATTCCCCCCCATCATATAGCCGTATGAATTGTGCTTGCTTGGTATCACATTGAACATCAGGAACGCTCCGGTCGAGACCAAGTAGCTACTGGACACCAGGAAGTAAACGAATCACAATGAGAAATGTATTGATAAAAATGCTATTTTTAATATTAAATCGAACAGTACTTACTGCGAAATGTTGGTTGATCCTCCCGCATCAAAACAGGACAACTGTATTTCTGAATGCTGATAATCTGATCAGGTCTGTTTTTGCGGATATCTAATATGGAATCATAAAACTACAACCATATTCATCGAGTAACGCCTGCACTCGATATGAATTGAAACGCGGGTGAACAAACTTCAACGTTGATTTTCGCTCGGCAACGTTGACATGGACAGACTTTAGTACCAGACTGTAATTGCCATTTGTTGCTTAAATCATTGTCCACCTTTCGTTCGCATCGGTCATAACTTTATCACCTTTTGATGTAGTAGCAGTGGTGGTGACTACTTTTGCTTCCCCATGCGCTGTACTGTTCTTCTCTTTATAACCTAGTTCCAGACTGTGATTGCCATTTATTGGTTGAATCATTGTCCACCTTTCGTTCGCATCGGTCATAACTTTGTCGCCTTTTAATGTAGTAGCAGTGGAGGTGACTACTTTAGCTTCCCCATACGCTGTACTGTTCTTCTCTTTATAACGTTGGATCTTATCTAGCGTAATGGGAAATTGGAAAGGCGGTGTTTGTTTCCATAAAAAAACATTCTATAACACTTTCATCGCCAGGCATCGAAACATTCTTCGTTATTGCAGTTACAATATCTGATTCTGTACAAGCCTCGCGTCTACGTGCTTCGCCTCAGCGAAAACAATGTTCTATACGAATGTATTCCCTCTTATACTGGTTCCCTACTCTTTGACAGTTTTCTCTACCACACTCTGTTTTGTGATTTTAAATTGGGCCTCCACCAAAACTTCATTCGGTTTTCAGCCTGTGACATTATGCTGTAGTATGCGACAAGTTTGGCCCATGATAACCACGGAACTTTGTTCGAATTTGCGGTGTGTTCTTACAACTGTTGTCCGTTGCAGTTGACATGACGGTATGTGAAGCAACTTGGGCATGTGAAGCTTGTAATCATATCTTGATGAAAAACAGTTATGCATAAAAGTGACGCGTACGCATCCGGTAGCCGATCAGTCAATTATTCCCAAACTGTGGCAGTAGTAAGTGCATGATATTATGTCATCCACTCCATAATCGAATCCGGAATGTGATATGGCACTACGTGCTATAGAGTGCTATCATATTTTGCGCGTTGCTCCGGAGTAATGTGTAACTGAGCGCAGATCACTACTAAAAGCAATAATGCCGGAGCTACTATGTGTCTGTAATGAACCAAAATCGTCCTGAATGTTGGATCCGTAGTAAAGTGTACGAACAAGAAACAATTACAAACAGTATGAGTGACGAATTATATTATGTGTGCTATCATAACAAAGCACAAAATTATACGTGCTACCATAACAAATGAACAGCCACAAATATAAGGACAATAAATATTGCGTGCTATGGATAATTCGCTTTGTAATTATGGTCTAGAGTGAGTGACTAGTGTACTCTACTGCATGCATTCTACTGGTATAGAATATTTGAGCTATCTATATACACGACACATACTCCCAGGATATCGGGCAGCAGTTGTGGTAAGTTTTGAACCTCTAGGCATAACTTTTGAGCAAGGTGACAGTACGAACGGAATTGTATAAATTTGGAAATATTAAAACGGAACTCCATGCAAAGTCTTAGATTAATTGACGGGAAGTGCGTCAGTCGCTGCTCGCATTGACTTAATGGGTCTAATTGTATACTAGAGTTGTCCTTTCACTAATACGGAAAGACCGACAGTATATAGAACACATCAGATATGTACTGCTGAGCGTATACTGTACAAGATGGTTCTATCGAAATATCAAAACGCGAATACAATACCAGGTTTACAATAGCACATATTTACATTGAGGGGTTAATCCTGATTGGACGATCGGACAATTTTAAAAGTTTGGCGAACACTTTAGTTTCTGGCCATTTTATCCTCTGGATTTAAAGGATCCAGTCTCTATCAGTATGCAACGAATGAAGTTATTGTGGAGTGGATAAGGTATCTACACTATTACTATTTTAAAAGAACTCGATGTTTTTTTATTTAAAAGAGTAGCGAACTAATCCGCTAACAAATTGAAGTATTTATATGACAAAACAGTGTAGAGCTCAGGATTTTGACATCACCTATCGTGTAGCCATTTCTACCACCAATTTTGTTCATAAAAGTCAACCATCCTTGGATTTTTATCTTTGAAACTGAAGAGTTTTTCCCAATCGTCGCTTTGCGGGGTCAGAGATTTTCGTGCAGAAGAGACCTGAGAAAAGGCCGACCTACTGGCCATTTCCGACCTAAAATTCCGGCCAAATCTCCAGCAGTGGAGACATCAAGAACTTACTGTTGGACACGAAAATTATCGCACTAGCTTA